TGAATCCTGTCGTTTGATACGGGATGGAGGGCGTCATTGCTTACGCCAGCTGATTACGGATGCTTCTTTTACTACGGATTCCGTTTCCACTCAGGCTTTAAGGAAGCCCAGTTTTCTGTTTGGAGATCATATTGAGGATCCGACTAAGTTGATTCTTACCGAGGAGCATTGGCTGAATCTTGATGAAGGAGCTCTCCTGTATATTCCTTCCATTCCTCGTCAGTATTCTTTCACTTGTTTGGAGGGACAAGCCATAGAGAGACAGATGTCCTGGCATCTTACCGATGATGTTGATCGAGTCCAGTGTGGATATACATCCCAACATAAGACTCCTGGTTCTATTGGGTATCATTACATCCGCGGTCTTCGACCAGGGATTATGGGTCTTAATACCGCACCCCCAGGCGAGGTATCAGCAGCCGCTCCTACTGTGAAGAACCGTCTGGCTCATCTTGGGAGGAGATTACCTCCACCAGACTTTAGATGCTATGGTTGGGCTTTCTCACAACCCAAGGCATGGTGGACACGCATGACCAGTTACGTCTGTTCGCGGTGAAAATTGTGGTTTTCATTGAAGTCATTGTCATCTTGAATAACAAATTTTCGAGTTACAAAAGATCCAGTCTTTTTTAGATCCGGTTACAACGAAATCAAAGAAAAAAAATAAAAATTATAACTTTCTCCTTTTGAATAAATCGCGAGCTCCTGTTTTGCGGTCGCTCGCTTTGTGTGGGTTCTTTGCCGACGCCGGGGTTAATCCGTGGACCACCGCGCAATCTAGATCCGGTCAAATCTACACGATTTGACGGGTATTATTCCGCGAAGGGAATAATAGCCGGGGAGGATTAGTTCACCAAGGAAATAATCGTCCAAATCTCAGGATCAAAGGCCAAGCTTTGATCCGGAGTGTAGTTTCGTGTAGATCTGAGATCTGATTTTTTACCTCTCGAACACCTGCCTTTTGTGACGTGGATGCTCGCCGAGAATCAGATCTGAATCTTCAAGTCCTCAAGTCTTCAAAACTCCACGCTCGATCTTCAATTCGGCAGAGTTTCGGCTCTCAAAGTTCCAACCTTTTCAAATGAACAAGGGGGGGCCTATTTATAGGCTCCCTTTACTGTGCCCGGGCACAGATCTGGCCGGCCACCTCAGGGTGGCTCGGCTTTGGCCGAGCCACC